TTTGCTGGTAAATATTTTTATTAATATGAAGGCAGGTAATGTTAAAAATAACAACACACAGATTTAATACAGAAGTTTATTTATTTTCACCATCAATTGTTAAGACAATTTAAAATCTTTTCCACTATTAATTGTTAAAATACAAGTTAAAATCATTTATTCATCATCAATTATTAAAAGAAATATAAAAGTCTTTGAATATTTTAAGCACTTCAGGCATAACAGTCTCTGCAAATACAAAACTTGCCTTTGGCTGTGTTTCTCTTGTTAAGTCAACACACATCAGGTGTACCCACTAAAGACAACAGTCACAAACCACAGAATCCATGTTGTTCAAGTCCTGCCTACACAACCACTGCATTGATGATCTCAAATATAAGATATTCTTAGTTCTAAAAACTATTTATATTTACTGGCAAAATAGCCTTGGTGTCTATTTTAACAGGACCAGCAAAATAGCCTATTTATTTGTATGAACTGTGGATGCCAAAGTGAGCACTTTGATTTGAGTTAAAGTATTGGAATTCTGACAAGGTATGAAATGGTCACAGGCATACATATAGAGGACTCTAATATTATGATAAATTGTGTTATGATTGATCAAAACAGTTACTAGCTTTGTTTTTTCCACCTAATATTTAAATCCTCAAGTTTACCACCTTCCCAGATTTCATACATTATTACAATTTTTAACCCCTTAAAGTTTAATTTATATATATATATATATATATAAAAATATTTATTTAAAAATTATAACATAAATATGTTATAAAATCACTACAAAATAGCCATTTGTTTCAACACCTCCATTGTCTTATCAAATATTGATGTTGAATAACTTTTAAAACCATTTATTTTACATTTTCAACATCATTTATGATAAGACACCAGAGGTGTTGAAACAAAATGGCTATTTTTGTAATAACATGTTTATGTTATAATTTTTAATAAATCATTATATTCGCCCTACTTTGTATTGAGCACTCTTTTAAGAATAGTAATTGTTGGTTATTGGAATTCATTTCGTATACACAATTATATACTTATATATATATATATATATATATATATATATATATATATATATATATATATATATATATGTGTGTGTGTGTGTATATATATATATATATATATATATATATATACATAGTCAACAACAAAAATTATTTGTACACCCATCAATTTTAAATAGTTTTATCCATTTCTCAGAATCTAATGCACATATGATGCCATTTTTCTGTGTTTCTGTTAATGTGATATTTATAACTACTCACTGATAAATTATGAAATAAAAGTACAATTGTGTTTATTTATTTATTTTTTTAAAAATAAAACTGGTGATATGTAAAAAAATGAAGACATTACTTCTTTTTTTCTAAATTGGAAAAACTTTAAAAACTTTTTACGATATTAAAAGAAAGATAACTTGTTTTTGTTTATATACCCTCTGTTTTATTTAAAAACAAAAATGCACATTGTACTTTTAATTTGTAATTTATCAGTTTTTTTAATATTTATTTCAATTCTAACAAGTGAGGAGTCATAAATTAAATGCCATATTAACAGAAACATGGTTCGATTTTCTTTTAACAATGTAAAAAAAATGCAAAGACTTTTTAAATTATTTTGTTTTACATAGTTGAAGTTATTATTAGCAAAGTAGTAGACTAAGAATTAAAAGTCCGATAAAATTAATTTAACTTTTAAAAAATGAAATAAATATTATCATACTTTAAACTTTATCATACTAATTAAAAAAATAAAACATTGCATTGTTTTATTACCATGAAAACTTGTAAATTGAAAAATTGCCCATTTTTGAACTTTAAATAAAGTTTCTGCACTTAAAAAAATATATTAATTTTCCATTTTCTTTTAAATTTCCATTCAATATTTCCAGAAAAAATTGGAATGCATGTGATATCATTAAAGCATTGGAATTATTTCAGTTTATTTATCTATTATATAATTTATGAAAAGTAACAATTTTATATCCATATTAAAGCTAGGCCTATGATACGATAAAAAAAAACAATTGGTTCACTTATTTATTTAATTTTTCTTCACTAACAGTTCCCAAACATGAAAAATCAAAATCAAAGAACTGGCGCCAAAGACTGGACTTTTCACATAAATGTGAAAAAACTGTGGATTAACTAAATTCACTTAATCCAACCCCACATCAAGTCCTTTAAAAATGTTTAAATTTCTTTCACACCTTTTGCTCAGGTCTTGTAAGTGGGGTTTATCCTCATCAGCTGACAGTGTGTTTTGGAGACATTTTTTTTTTCTTTCAGCCAGCCATATCAAAGACAAGTTTTATTGAAATTATATTAGTTTTCTTCTTTTCTGAAAACTCACTGTGGACCAAAAGTGCCACCCGGTGTGGACCCCCCCCACACACACACACCTCCATCAGCTATGCCATTATGATTGATGGTAGCATCTATATATCTATAATATTACAACCTACAGAATCCCAGTGTTTATCTCGTTTTATACAGTTGATTATCTATTATTGATGCTAGTAAAAACTAAAACAATCATTGACTTGTTTTGTAGCTGACACATTTGCATATTTTTTTACTAGCACCAGTGATCAGTGTTTGAACCCCCATAAAAATCCAGGATTTTGAATGCTAGCTACTGTTTGGTGTTGCATGAGTGTAAAAACGGGCAAGAAATGAAGTTCATAGGGTTATACAGGAAAGATAATAGTTAACCCTAGACTTGCAGAAGTCAAAATTGTAGTGACTGGGAAAACATCCTGCCATGAGTCTGTTCCACAAAGCAGTAATTCTTGAGGAGAAGCTGTCTGAATGGAACTTACTTCTTACTATAGGAATACAAAGGAATGAGAGTGATCCACCCTTGTGTACATGTCATTGTGGGTCACAGTTGTAAAAGTCTGGTGTGGTGGGATGAATGTAGTCTGTCAGAACATATACCATAGAAGTAGCAATAGAACAATGAGATGCTTGCAAAGTTTCATCTGTGGGAAAGGGGTTATAGGGTAGAAAGTAATTCATCACCCACAAGGCCACATGGTTTTGAAGACAAGCAAGTAGGGACTAGGCAGCTCCAGCCCAGACTCAATTGACTTTTTGGTATGATTAATTATAGTTTTGAGCATTCCTTCTTTTATTAGATGAAAGGTATAAAGAGGATTGATTGATTCATTTGTTTTTTATGATTTATCAACCGATTACAGGTTATTTAGAACCAGAAAATATTTTTAGATTGTCAGAATATTTTTGGGATAATAATGATTTACTGATACAAGGCTTACTAATTAACCAATAGTTGGGGGAGAAGAGGTGGATTCATAGCTTTTCCAAGGTTTATTGTGCATAAGTGATTCTAACAAACCTAACTGGAATTGGAACTCAGTTCTCTGATTTTCAATGTTGAGCCATTATCCATGACACCATTGCACATCTAAGCTTACAACTGCTGATATTCCCAAGTAGGCATCCATCTAGGTACTGGTCAGGCTTAATGTTGCTTAATTCTAGTGATTTTACAAGAACTGGTGTTTCAACATGATAGAGGAACTTGATTGTGTATCAGTAAATAAGATGTAAGTTCCAATTGAAAAAAAGTATGGTTGAGTTGTTTGCTCAATTGAAGTGAAGTCAGTTTTAAGTAAGTTTTATGGTAAAATATTTTGTGTTTATGTCAAAGATTAACTGCATTGTTTCTTTTGTGTATTCACTCTGCTTATAAGAAATAAACCCTATTTCCAACACAATTAGATACCTGCATGCATATCAAACTTTATTTTCTACCAAATAACAGACAATATTTATAAACATGCCAAAAAGATTTCACAATACAACACACACCGTTTAAATCAAAGTGTCTACTGGTTAGAAATTAACATTACCAATCAAAAAACTGAAACCCTATTTTTCTCTAACCTACTTTTTGGAAAATTTTCTTATAAAACCCACAGATTTCAACTTTCAGCAGTAGAAATTTGACTATCTCTAAGCCATTCAAGCAGAAGAGAATATGTGGCATAGCTTTTTCCTTCTGCTTAGCATGTACTGAAAGAAATATGAGATGAGGAGTTATTGCCATTATTTACACTATTTACATGCATATTATTGTTCTCATCTTTTTTGTTGTTATCTGTTATCTTTCGACCGCTGTTCCCTACAGCCTTCATCAGGTGTAGGTCGAGCCAGGTAACTTACAGGGAATTCTAAATAAACTGAATACTTTATTTAATCTACAGGGAGTAGTAGACTGTTCTTTTCCCATTGTCCATGTCTAGGGATATCTCGTGTAGTTCTTATTTTTAGCATTGCTGAATTACCCGAATTAACATGCATCTGATGAAGGCAGGAGAACTTAACAGCCAAAAAACAACAAAGATTAGGACAATAGTCCGCATGTAAAAATAGTTTATTTTTTATTAGGTACCTTTTTTTTGTACAGTCAATCTTCAAATGATATCCAAAAGGTTATTTGCAACCTAGCTATAGTATAAACAAAAAAAAATGTTTAGAAAGTATGGACGTACTAAAAAAAATTATTACGACTTTTTCTTAAATTGACAGATTTCTTTGTTTTATTTAAAAAAATATATATATATAATTACCGACCCTTCTTTTTAGTTTTTAACGTTTCAGTTATATTTTACTGAAAAGGATATCCATTTTACAAATGATAAATAACTCTTTAAACTTTATAAACATTTTTTCACGATACTTGAAATTATTTTTCCACTTTACAATAGGCAAGTCATCTCCGATTTCATGCTCTTATCATATGAACATCACGACAGCATTTTTATTTTTAGCGACCTCTGTAAAGCAGTAAATAAAGTTATAAACAAATATGTTCATTAAAAATTTTACATTAAAAAATTTAAAACAGTAAATTAATAATTTTTAATAATTTCAAAAACTTGTTTGTCTCCACTGAATATACAAAGAACTTTTTTTTTTTTTCATATTTACTGCAGAATCGTTAACAGTGATATAGGAATCATGGCGGACGAAGCGCAGCTTAATATGTACAAGTCTCAACTTCAGCAGGTATTTAAATTTCTTGCTATAATTTAAAAAATAAAAATAGTCATTTTGCGACAAATATTCAATTTATCTTAAATAATGTTTGGAGTGTAGAATCATTCTACAAATTGTCCTTTTCTTTGTTAATTATCTGTTTCTCTTTATCAACTCTGTTTTTAGCTTTCTTTCTTTATTAATCCAAACCTCTGTCGTATCAACTGTTATGTTGGCTATAAGTTTTGTTATCCCAAGCATATGTTTGTCTTCGAACTTAAAAAAATTAAATGGTCGAACTTAGTGAGTTTGAATACAAAAAAAAAAAAAAACTTAGTTTTTTCCGTTCTCACTGTCAGATGTGGGAAAGTCTTAAGTAAGTTTGTATTCGGTATTGTTTCCCAACAATTTTCGAGAAGAGCATTTTTTAAATAAACTCTGAAAAAAATTACCCTCTTCCCTGATTTTACTTATTTATTGGTTAATTAATAGTAAATTGCTATTGTTTACTTTACACAAATTCTTTTAGACGTCTTTTTATTGTTAATGTAAGTTTCTTTCCATGTGAATTCTAAATGAATTAAATAAACTGCTTTATTCGTCATAAGTAAATTTTAATATCGTGCTCAGCAAACTTACTTTTTAAAAAATTAAACTGTATGCCATTGGACATGTTTTAAAATAAAAAAAAAAATTGGTGTTTAACCTTTCTTTAGACAGAAATAGAAACAAAAGATTATTATTTTTATGAACACTGCTAATTTTCCTCAGGTTAACCTAGTTTTCATCTTTTCTATAGTGTAGAGTTGGGTCTAAAAAAATAAAGTCCCAATTAAATTTTTTTTTCATTTTATTATTCATTTATTTATTTTACGAAAATCTTTTTTCTTTCCCAACGTAGTTTGTTTTGCTGTTCTTAATGAAAATTAGTTTGTTTTTTTTGTTGTTGTTGTTTTGTTAGGACTTAATTTTCTTGAAAATGAACCTTTTAAAAAAGTAAACGATCTACCCTAGGGGTAGGGGTTCCATTTTAAAATGTATAATTTTAAAATGGACACTGACTTTGTGTCCAACATGGTCATTGAATGTTCAATACGATGTAAATAAATATATTACTAAACTGGACCCTGATTTCGTGTCCTCTTTTATGCAGCTATGTGGGTGAGTTAAGAGCCACAGAAAAACACATGCCTTTTTGATCTTTGTAGGCTTCCGTACTTAAAAAAAGATAAACTAACGAAAAGGAGTCGCTATTTTCATAAAAACGGACTCAAAGTAAGTGTTCAGTTTAACATTGCAATTACGTTCACAAATTTTGAAGTCTTTAAATTTCTTTTCCTTTGAGTTCACAACAATGAAAAAAAGTAACCATAAAATAAAATCGTTTCGTTACTTGTATTTTACTTTGTTTACAGTTTTTACTTTTACACTTTTAGCTAAAGTACAAAAATTTTAACTTATAAAAAATCCTTTCTCTGTTAAAAAGAGTAAACCGTATGTATATAACAATAATTTATTGTCACAACCTTTATTTTATATTGTTTAATAAAACTTGAAGTCAACATTAAACCTGGAATGAAAGAGCTGATTATCTTCCATCTTTAAAATTTTCACTGATCTTTTTGAATCTGTCTAATTGAAATCAATCATGATTGTTGACAAATATTGCTTCGTATTCGTATGAATAATGGGTATTGTCGATTTTATTTTTAACATTAGAAACATATTTCGGGTTCCAAGTAATGAATAATAATTACTTCAGATATTTCTTTACTTTCTCTCGTATTCAGATCACTTTTTTCTTTTCTTTTTAAGCTAAATGACTATGGTAAAACTAACCATTTTTAATTCTTGTGAATATAGGCCCTTAATTGCGAATCTCGAACGACGGGCAGTTTTCTGTTTTTCTTTTTAGGTTTTGTTTTCTTGTGTAATAAAAAATTGCTTTCATAAACTATTTTTGAAGTTTCAGGATACGCAAAACAACATATTCTATGTTTATTGTTTAGGTACCACCACGGACTTCTACTCAACCTCGGAAAAGCGCATTAAATAATTTAAAAATTCCTTCTTTGAATTTAAATTTCGCTTTTATTTGAAAGAACCTAAAAGAAAAATTAACTTATAGTTTTTAGGCATTTTTTAAAACCATGACACGTTTTCTTGTCACCCCCTCGAACCGCCATTATAGAAGAAAAATGTAGTAAACAACACATTTATCATAAATGTGTTGTTTACATAAATGATTTATGTCCTCGAGATATGTTTAAGTCAGTACATAAATGATTAACTGGATTTTGTAAAAAAAAAGTAATGTTTACTTTTTAGTCATGTTTATTTACACGCAGTAGCCAATAGGTTAAAAATCTATAATCATACCCCTTACTTAAAAAGCGCGCGAAAGTAAATACATGTAGTAACAAAACAAGTAGTAGTGCATTAAAAAAAAAACAAAAAAAAACATTGGTATTTTGTTTAAAAATAGCACTAAACCAATATTTTAAGAATATAATTTTTTATTTTATACGATTATATGAAACTTCGAATGGGTAATTTAAATTTGTTTTAGCTATAGCAGTAGTTTTTTTTGTTTTTTAAATAATAATTTTGTTTCAGTTTAATTAATACACTGTTTATTTTTGTACCTGTTTGATATAAAATAAGTTGCACTCAATGTTTTTTTTTTTTTTTTTTTTAATTTTGAATTTAAAAGTTATTGAATTATCATATCTTATTACGCTTCTGATGGGGAAAAGTAGTTGGCAATTCAAAATCATTTTCTTTTTGAATATCTATATCAAAAAATAATCCATCAGATTTTCTTAAAAAATGTTCACACTTGAACAGGGCATTAAACTCCACATTTTTCAATTCTACAAAAATATTTAATAAATAAGAGGTTATATTTTCCCGGATTTAAATGGCCTTAAATATAGTCTGCTAAAAATTCAAATATATCTGGGATTCATTTCACTGAGCTGAGACTAAATAGTTATAAATTTATGATTGTCCAATGTGAACAGAAATAAAATATTTCATTGTAAATTTCAATTTTAAAATGCTATATCTTTATTTAAACTTTATTTTAGTTCAATTTTTAGTTTTGTTTTTGTTAATCTAACAAAATCATTTGGGTTCATCATTACAATGTGAAAAATCATTTGTGATATCAGCAATAATATGGTATTGCATCCCACTTGGGACAATTCTTTTAAATCAGGGAAATGCATTAGTTAGCCATCCCAACCCCCTTTACTCCAAAGAAAAATTCTTTCTGTCTGTTGTTTTCTTTCATTGTCTTTTTCTCTTTCTTCTCCCTCCATAATAAAATGCTTAAAGCTTTAAAATTATTGATATCTTCTTCACAAAAATGACAACTGGCTCAATGATTGACATGCATTTTTTTTTCTTTCCCCCTACCTAGAAATTACATAAAAGAATTTCTGGGACACACTGGCTCTCATTTCTGTCACTCTCTAGGTGTCATTTTGTACTATAGTTGAAATAAAAACGAAAGCAATAAAATGTAATGGAATTTCTTTAAATATAATCTTTTAGATTTAATAAATAAAAGAAACTACACTAAACAAACTTAGATCATTAAAAATTCCTGCAACTAACATTTGGCACACATTTTGATTATTTTATATAACAATTGAATGCTAATATGTATAAAATGTGAGTCCTCTGTGGAGTTTACACATTAATTATTCTGGATGTATTTGCCAAAAATGACTTAAAAAAATTCCAAATATAGCTTTATGTGTGAGCATCATAGAAATTAACTTTTTGCAAAAAGAATAAAGAATTAACATTATGATACAAGGTAAATTTTTATTTACTACTTAATGTGATATTCTTTTTAAATTAATTTTCATGAAGAACATATTTTTGATACAGTATTAAACCTTTTTGAATATAAGGTCAGTATATTTGTCACTTTCTGTCAACCTACTTATATTCTCTTTATTTGCTGCCTTAATCTTAAATCTTTTTTCCAGCAATTACCATTTTTGAAAAATATTATTTTGCAATATCGTACTTTTATGGTGCAAACATTCTCTTAATTATCAGACCACAAAATGCTGATAAAGTGTGAATCATAAGTCATCAGGCTTTTTGTAATTTCCCTTTGACTTACTGTAAAACTGATTTGAAGGGGCTGTTGAGTGCAGTGAAATGCCTTAGATTATCTTGTTTTATCCAATCATCAGTGGTTTTTGTTCATTTTAGCTAATCTTGACTTATATTTATAATGAATCTTATATTTTGCTAATGAAAATTATTTAAAAACCAGTTATTTTTCTTTTGTAATTTTTTTTAACAAATAACTTATACAGGTACCTCCACAAAATCGATAAAAAATCAGCATACATGCTCCAAAACCTAATGAAAACATTTTTTTCATCACAATTGTTATGTTGTTGTTAATAGGAAGGGTCAATTTTTTTAAAATATTTAATTAAATTTTTACTCCATCTTAGGGCATTTGAAATTTTGTGTGTTTTTATTATTAATTTTTTTTTTTTTGCATCAGTGGTTGTACTAACTTTTTTAGCCTCTCTTTTGCGGTGACAGACACATTGATTTTGGAAACCTTGCAGAAATCAAATAATTGCCAGGTTTTAATCAAATAATTGCCAGATTTTAATGACTTATTCACTAATGAATGGAATTTTATTTGAAATTTTTTTCCTTAATAAATCTTGGTAAGAAAATTTTTTTTTTTTTTACTTACTCTCTTACTTAATTTTATGAAAACTTGAGAAATTCAATGTGATGATTTTTAGTGACTATCTTAATTAAAAGTAGATTTCTTTGAAGAATCTAAATCACCTAATGTTTATGGCAAAATTCGAACCCCGTCTTACTGAAAATCTGTTTTGGATTGAAAAATAAAAAAACACACACAATAAAACTAAGACATTATTTAATTAGAGAAACTTTTAATTGCTTTTATGAATAATATATATTAAAGACAATATTGTCTGGAAAAAAAAATATTTTCAAGATTTGTTTTCATTTTTTTTTTTTTTTTTTTTTTAATTTCAAATTGAATAATTTATAAAGTTTTTAAATCTTTTAAAATTAAGTTTCAATGTGATAACTCTTAGAAAATATTGTTATTGAATAAAACTATATTTACTGATCATATATTATAAAGCTTATTACAATCTGACGACCCTGAATATTTTTAAAAGAATTTTGATTTGTTTTTGTATGTGTATATATACATGCAGAATTTCCGGCGTATTGATTTACAATAATAAATCTATCATTAAATGATCCTGTGTTTTAAGGTTTGCTCCCCCACCTCCCAAAAGAAAAGCTTTATTCTGCTCCACCATACTTAACTATAAACACATTTGCTGGTCAATCAGCTGTCAATTAACATGTCAGAAAAACAAAACCCTGTGGTTAAGAAACATTTTATGCTATAAGTAATATTTGTTTCAAATCAGATTAATTTAACTTTAACTTTGCTAATTTTCCACAAATAATAGTTCAGAAATATATATTTTTGCAAGGTTTTTAAAACTGAGAATTAACTTTGGTTCACAAATCTCTCAAAATTGCTGATTTTTATCGATTTTACTGAAAAAAATCAATTCAATCAATATAATTTCTATTTGAGATATACCACAAAGTATTTTGATGACTGGAAATAATAAATTTTAAATCTTTTAGTTTTCAATTTAATAAATTTCATAAATGGAAATGCAAATTTGCTAACTTGGATTTTATAATTAACTTTGACTCCATAGATTGAAAAGTCAAAATATGTATTCTTTTACTACAAAATAATATTTTTCTTATTATTTAGAGCTGAGATTGAAATGAAGGGGAGAAAGCTAAATGTTTATTCAATTCAGAATTGAAACATGGAGATTTTTATAAATCCAACAATTTTAACAGAGGCCCAGTATATAACACACAATAGATTATCCTAAATGATGTCTATTTTTGTCAGAGGAACAGATGGTTCTAGATTTTTTTTTCTTACTAAAATCTAACTGACCAGAAACCCATAGGAGCTCTTAGCAATTTTTTTTTCCTGGAAAAATAAATGTATGGTATAAAATCTCTGTGTGAGGAAAAGGGAAATTAAAAGTACTCTGAAGATAATTCTTATGCTTTCCAAAATTTTGAAATGGCATCTGCTTTTTCTTTGAAAACAAATCATTTTGTTCCTAGTGATGGATTTAATGAATTTTAATAATTTAAAATTTTACCTATTCAGAAAAGAGTTTTTTTTTTTTTTTTTTTTTTTTTTTTTACAAGAATTCTTTCAACTGGGCTTTCTGATTGGCTAAAGTTGGATGCCTGGGTGACATAAAAAGTGAGAGCCTGCCTTTTCCAGTGATGTAAGACAATTAAATCAAAATTATCAAGTAGCAACATCAGCATGAAGACTGGACAGACAACTAATCAGTCAAATCTTTGGGATAGAGTGGAAAATGATTGATTGAAAAATAAATATCATTAAACAGAAGTGCTCTAAACTGTACCCATCCTCCTAAGGGATCTTGGTCGAAACCATTTGATTTTGATCCTTGAAGAGTTGTAACTCCGAACAAGATGCTGTTAAGCTGAAGAATTACAATAAACAAAGAAATTTTAACTTAAGTTGGTGATTACTTTTGATTGAAGGCCTGTCACCACTATTCCCTGTCTACACCAATGCTGTTTTTTTGTTACAAGTTTGTTCTTTTGTAGTAGTCTTGTAACATGATATAGCACTCCAATCATAGAAGGGATAATTCAATGTTACTTTGGCTGAATAAAGTTTTTTCTACACTTTTTTTTTTAAACAGGCTTTTTTTTTTTTTTTTTTTTTTCTACACTTTTCTTTATGTAAAAAGTAAATTCAAAGACATTTTGACCAAAACTATCACACGACTTCTTCAGATCTGAATATACAATGTGGGTTAAGAGGTTTGTTGGTAGTGAAACAAAGCCAATGAGTAGTAGGTTGACTTGTATACTGAATATAAATTCTCAGAAATACTGATTAGGTAGGAGTTTCTATTTCGCAAAATGTTGGGAAAAATGCTGATGTTTAAACCAGTAATAGTTCTAATTAACTTTCATTATAAGGCAAGTAATGTTGAACTAATTTCTAAGTTTTTGTAAATAAGATTTCATTTATTTTCTTTTTTAATTTTTAGGTTGAAGCTTCTTTAACCAGTGATCCAGACAATCAAGATCTGTTAAAATTGAAGAAAGATTTGCAGGTGGGTAACATTCTACTTTTTTCTATCCTTGTTTTAGTCTTCATATCAGTCTTTTATACTTTACCAATGCCAACTATATACATAAATGTATACATTTATACATGTATGTGTATTTTAATTGATATTTATGTACCAAATGTTTCTAAATTTTTTTTTTTCTTGTAACTCACTTGTTAAAAAGAATTGTCAAAAAAATACTTGTTAGGAAAGGATTTAGAAATCTCAATCATTTGGAAAGGATTTAAGTAAATGTATTTTTTTAGAACAGATGTAGATTGACATGTAAATGAATTTTTCTTATTTTATATTTTGTTTTAGTAACTTGCAATATATTGCTACTTAAGGAAAATGTTTTATCGTCTTTTGTTAACTACCATATATACTCGCATATCATGCAACTTTTGAAGACTTAATTTTGAAGCTAATTTGACTACAGTACATGGATATATAGTTTGGTCAACAGTGTAGCCAGGGCCAGCAGTACATATGCTAATTTTATATTGTATGATGTGACCCCGCCTTAAAATTAGCTTCAAAATTCGGTCTTCAAAAGTCACATGATACGCAAATATATACGGTAATTATAAAATATTGGTTTATAGTTTGCTTTTTAATTTTTTGATATTTGGTTAAAATTGGTAATGAATTACTGCATTGACATGATCTAAGAAAAACTGAAGCAGTATTGTAATAGTCACTTTTAGCTTAGACATTATATGATAAACCCCTTCCTTCCTTCATTCTATTGCAAACTCCATATTGGGCATGAGTTAATAAAGGCCAGTTATTACCGAATGTTTATAAATTCTTTCTGTCCCAAACTATCAAATTATCTCATGACCATATATTACATTTCTTGGATAAATAGTGGAGTTACTTGGTGGTGTGTGTATCCTGAGTAATACATGACAGATTGTGCAGGGTTACATGGTACTAGAAGCAGTAATCACTGACTTGCCCTATTAAGAGAGGTGGTTTCATGCATTAGTACAAAATACACTACTTCAGCAAGAATTTTAATTCTGTGTGTTGATTGTATTCATCACACTGTTAACCATAAATTTAATTCTGCATCTTTCTATAGACCTATAATGACAAGGTGGCTAAGTGGTTAAGGCAAGGTACTGCTAATCCAATCTATAGACCTAGCATAGTCTAAAAAAGAAGAAATGGATTCTGAATAGTTTTCTTCATTTATCTTATTTTGTAGCAATTATTTTTTTCTTGTATTATTTAAGGTACTCCCCCTCTATTTTAATTGCCTTTCTTTTCATATTGTATGCAAATAATTACCATTGATAAATTTAGTCACACATTTCAGATCAATATCTAGCCTGACCTTTTAAAGGTAACCTTTCAAAAGTTGGCCTTTTAGTATTTTTCTTGTTTTCTACTAAATTCAACAATTCTTTGTTATACCCAATGTTTGTTTTTAACCATTTGTGATCACAGATTTTAAAAATATCTAAAAAGGGTTGTGTGACTACATTCAAAATAATAGATTACAATTGGTTATTTTATCAATCAATAGTAATTAATGACACGTAAAAAAAAAAAAAGAAAAATGTATAATTTTCATTTTGAGTAAAATCTGTGTTAGAAAGAATTAAATATCTTAAAAATATATTACATATCGTTTAGTTGACAATTTTGTGATTGTATTTGTCTGAATATTCATTTGTGATTGGTGTTAATAGATTTATATATTTGGCACTGGTATTTGAATGATGTTTGTTATGAAGTCTTTGAAAGATTTCTGCTACTTTAAATCTGTATATTCTTTTATATAATATAACATCTTTATACATGGAATGCTGAAAGTCTTTTCTGAGGCAAATAAAGCAAATGTTACATGATTATTTGTTTAATATTCCAATTTTATTAGGAAAAAAATCTTTAAAAAAAGTTTGGAGCCGAATCAAGCTTATTGCCACATAACAAAAGCTAAATCTGAACTAACAATGGTAGCATATTGTTACCATTTAAACTATTTTCAGTTTTTTTACTTTATTCTTGGCATTAAAAGGAAAACAATTCTGTTCATTTAATTACAATGAAATGGCAAACATTCTCCATTTGTTGCAATTTTTCAAATAACACTCTGTCTATTCTGATGACATTAAAACAAACTCATCACATCCCCTTTAATAGTAGGCATGCATTTCTACTGTAATGAAGTTTTGTAGCTGTCTGAATTGGCTCTATAGCATATGCTGTAAAATAAGAGTTAATGATTTCTGCAAAATTTTAAAACAGAATTTAACTCTGGAACATTGAAAACTACAGGTTTTAAAAATACCTAGTAATTATAATCTCTGAATAAATACACTTTAAATTTATCTAAAATTAAACTTTGAAACATGTAAAGATATGTACAGGGTTTTGTGCCCTGTTTTTTGTTGTTTTCACTAATAAATAAAACTTGGTTATTTATATCTGAGCAAATTTGAGTTTCCAATGAAAGGGTATTTTCTAACTAATCACTAATTACCAATTTAGAAAAAGAGAAACTAATCTAGGTAGATAATGATGTGCTATAGTTAAAGTTAGTGAAATATGGTATTGACTTTGAATTGCTTTATCCAGGAAATAGTTGATTGATGTGGAACTACATTCACACCTGGTTGCCTGGTGATAACTGCTAGAGTTGATATCATTGCTCTGCTTTTGACTACAAAAAGAAATGACACTTTCAGAATGTGACAACTTGTGAAAGTATTTTTGATTTAGACTATATAATTTTTGTTGTGGCAACAAACATTGGAAGATGCCAAGTTGTTATTTATATGAAATCAAAAAATCCAGGCCACTTTAAATTGACTTTGTTGTAACATTAGCTGTGTATCAGGCCAATTAAAGATTACTTCTTTTTTCCACTGCATTCTTTTTCAAGGCCTCTCAATTGCAGTATCCTTATTGTTAATTTCACTTAGTTGTTTTCTGTTGTCATAGCAGGATATGAAAAAACAATGAAATTCAAACAAATTTCAATTCAAGGATCATTCACCTTCAGTAGCAGGATAAGCTTTTTGTGCAGCAAATGAAGTAACATACAGAGTAATAAAGTTTAACTCACTACAGTCATCAATAATCTAAAAAATATTATTTTAAAAAATACACATCTATATATCACAGCATGTTGCTATGTCAAATATGCATATACTGTAACAAAGTCTATTTAAATTACAAAATCTACATTATGAAACAGAAGATTTCCTCTAGGATACTTCTCCACTTTGATCACATGTGATATAACATAAATATAGCAAGAGTGTATAAATCTATATCATGACCAATTTTTCATTGTTTTTGATGTTAAACTGGTTATATCTTACCACTTAAGGATTATCAGAGATTACTGATAAAAATATTGCCAACTTGTTTAAACATTCTAATATCCCTCTTTTCTCATAACTAGAAAAATATCAAATTTGAATATTTTTTTAATTTAAATTCTTGAATTATAAAGTGAAATATTTCTCAAATGTTTGTGGCATTCTTTGCATATTTTTCCTAAACAAGTCTGTTTGCCTCAATATTTTCTGTACTTAAATGTATATGTGTGTGCGTGTGCATGTATGTATGTGTGTGCTTGGAAGAGTTAATATTGTTCTGCTTTTATCTCTTCTGCTCCTCCTTAGTCCTCAGTCTATGTTGGTTGAGTCAATCTAATTTGTTCTCAGACTCTTGTATTTCTAGATGAAGGGGCGATACACGCTCTTCGTATGTTTTGAAAGCCTCACAGACGGTGCTCCCTGAGTAGTAAGTATATACTCCACAGTTTGACTACTTGAATAGTAACACTTCTGTGGTGGGATATTGAAGTATAGAACATCATGTGTTTAATAAATTATAAAAAAAAATATATATATACATCTTATTATCTATTATTCCTCCTGACCCTCCTTTTTAGTTATGTATCCAACTGCTTCCCACCGGTTGTATGCCTTCTCCCATCTTGTAAATATCCCTTAATTTAAGGTTGATCATTTCAAAATGAAAAGTTTTAATTTTTATATCTTAATGTTAAAATTTTCAGGGAATGCCTACACTCGGCTGTGAACAGTTGAATTTTTTTTCTCTCTAATTATTAAAATAATTCTATTTTTTCAATATTGCTTTTTAAAGCTTTTTTTGCATAATTTTTTTGTGTCTAAAGTTGTATATATTTATTTCTAAATTAAGATATTAAATTCTTTGTTCAAAACCTGGTTTTTCAGCATGGGACATTTGAGTTTATAATTTCATTATGAAGTTATTCACTTTTGTAAAAAATCTAAAATTAAAAAAATGTTTTAATTTTTATCAGCCATTTAACTTGCATTTGTAAAATGTTCTATATCATCAGAAAAGTTCACTACATAAGAGATGAGCAAATTACTCACATTTATGTTGTGAAGTTTTTGGTGTTAATGGTAGTTTATTAATCAAGAAATATTGAACATAAAGAAAATTTAAAACAACATGGTGTTTGATATTTTATTATTACAATGCAGTTGCAAAACTACTTAAATACCACTATTATTTTTTGTTGGTGTAACTTAAAGAATTCTGCAACTTCATTTTTCAGCTTAAATAAAAATTCGTATCAGATAGATGATGTGACTATAAGTATTAGCAAAGCCAAGTCATTTCAATCTACAAATGATGTCTCAAATTAATCCTTTATTATCTTGATTAACATAAGATTTCAAGATATTAACTGCTCAATAAATATTTATCTGCAAAATAACTTTGTGCAAATAGTTTACTGCATTTAGGTTAAATATGCATCTGTAGTTGTAGAGGTATGATACCAATATTATGTTGCTAAAGCTATTATTACAAGCTATTAACTTGGTCATTTAATGATTTCTGATACAAGATTCTTGATTTTAAGCATTTTTCTTATATGTAAGTCCACTAATTTTTTTCCCTGATCAAATTTAATGATATAAAAACAGTATAATATACAGAGAAAAAAAAATAAGGAAAAACACATTTCTGATTCTGTTAATGAGCTTTGTTGCATTTGATTACAAAAGTTTATGATGGAATCCATTTTAATCAATACTAAAAAGAACAGGTTGCAAGATAAATATAGGATTGAGGGTAAGGGGATTTATTTTTTTTATTTTTAGATTTGAAAACCAAATGCTGATTTATTTTCTGTTTTGATTTAGTCCAATTGATCTTTAATAGTTTGTCAGCTGAGTTTATAGTAAGATAGGGAAAAGTAATAAGCAGATATATCTACCTCTGTCAATATGTTTCATGAAATAATATAGACATATTGTGTCTATTTATTTTTATACTGATCCTTTCCAGTCCTCTAATCAGTTCCTTGATGTTAAGATGAAATCTATCAAGTTTTTTTCTAGCCCAAGTACTTTTGGATCTTTTTCAAGATCATCTTCAGGGATAAATTACAAAGACAAACTTATTGTAACTGCAATAAAATCTGCATTCCATTGTGATGGTGATTTTTAAGATGTATATTTCCTCAAAAAGTATGACTATGCCCATACTACGGCCTATCTGAAGTGGAAAGAAAAGTTTTGCTGCTACTAAAAATCAATGTCCTTGGGTTTTTGAAGAAAGGAAGTAAGTAATATCACCACCAGACACCATATAAACTCTTGCAACTGGTGTTAGTTTCTCTTCATCCCAGGTTTTTATTTAGATAGATCAGCAATGTAGCAGTTTTACATTTGATGGACTTTCTTACTGGGGGATTGTTGTAGCATACCTACGGACGATAATGAGTATGTCCCCATTCACATAAATACAGTAGTAAATACTGTATGTTGGCCTGCAGTTAGATTCATTGTGGAATTCACTTGACTCACTTCTAACAGTTGATTACTACTTCTATGTGCTGCTGGCAAATCTTATATGTGTTTTTCATGTCCTAAGTATTATCGTTTATTACCAACTTACATGTGATTATTCTATTCAGTAACCTTCCCTAGGTTACGACAGGGATCCAAAGAAAGAAGTCCTACTTTCTCTACTAATATTACAAATAGTAAAATGAATATACTCATTAGATAGATCACTTGCAGCATGATTATACATCTATGAATGATCGCTATGAAAACACTTTCTTACTTTTTCTTAAGTTAATTAATGATAAGGTTAGTGATTTTCTTTCTTCTGTGCCTATTTAATTCACAAAATCTTTATTAAATTTGTGTTCTGGTAGGGACAGAGTGAAAATACACATCCTACACAGTTTGCAAGTTATTACACAGCTCACTTGTAAAAAGGATAGAGGCAAGAAATATTATCTTTATGAACTTCATTGTCCACTCTAGCCAAGAATATTTACAAACTATGCTGTATATAATCTTCTTGTAGATTAATCTTAAATGCTTATTGTTATTATTCAGCCTGTTATTTCATACATTTTCTATCACCAATAAAATAACAATGAAATGGTGATATAAACCTAAGTGGGTATAACATATGCCACAAAATACAATACCTTGTTCTTTAGGACCTGCATTCACAAATTTGATATTGAAATGTAGAAAGTAATCATATCAAGTTTATTAAATCTTGTAAGAGCAATTTAAACACTTTTATATTCCATTTTTTTTTTGTAAATTATTTCATAAGCATGAAACAGGTTTATATAAATTTGGATTTAATTGTTTATTTGAGCAAATATTTTCTGTATATGGATAAAATATTTAAGCATTAATATTTTAGTAATAGGTGTGAAGTCTGTTTTATCAAACAGGAAACTGTCTGTGATGTGACTCAAAAGTTTTGAATACTTTTAATCATCTTTATCAAAAACTGATCTCTTGCTGATCGATGGGTCGTTAAGTTTTAAACAAACAAACAAACAAACTTTATCAAAAACACCCAAATTGTCCCATGGATGGCTTGGTTTTGATTTCAATGGACCATTCTGTAAATTGATGTGTTAACATAAAAAAAAAAACAATTAAATATTGCTCAATATATTTGATAAGTGTATTTTTATGATTTGTTAGGTTGTAATTTACAAGTGTGACAAAATGTTTGAATTGTAATTTCTAGTTTATGCGTTTCCATAGATATGTCTTCCTCTCCAGTTTATTAAAAATAATCTTTATATTTTAGTTTTACATACAATATAAAACTAGTTATTAAACCAAGATGTTAAAATTTAAAAAAAAAAAATTTGAATGTTTTATAATTTACCTTTGTGTGTGCGCGCGCCTTCATGATGCCACTTTTAAAGAAGCTTTATTAATAAGCATTGTAACTAAACAAAAATATTTTTGTAGAACTTTTGAGTAAAATGATTCCTCAAATCCTAAAATTTCACATTTAAATAAACTTTAAAACTGATTACTAATCTCATGATTGGTGTAATCCTTTTTCTAGAATAATGGATTAACATCTGACTTAAAGTATCGGCTATACTATTCTATACTTAAGTAAAATGCATAAAGTAAAGCTTGGTAAATAATAGAGCAATTTAACCATAAAGCCAACTAAACAATAATTAGCAGAGGTAACTGTTTCTTTCAAGAAGGTTATGGCATAAATAAGAGCACAAAAAAAGTGTAATTTTATTTTTAAAAGTAATTTACATGTAATCATTAATCTCCTATTTTGTCAAAAAAAAAAAATGTAGAAAATTTCTGCTTTAATCAATAAAATAAAGTAATAATTTATTTCAACTATCACATTTTGAAAGCATTTGAATTTGGCTTATCTGAAAGGACAACAAAAATAGGCAAATTTTTATTTATTTTTAAATTTATGGAGAGGACATTTTCAATTCTATCTGCATTTAACAAGGTTTTCTTTGATATTCATTGACTGATCATTTTGTCACCAGTTTTTACATTCTAACAATTGATACAGACACTTTAAGTTCTCAAAACTGTATGCAGAAACAGCAAAATAACAGACATCTTCCCTTCTATGAGCCTTTCAACTGTTAAGTTATTGGTTCTATGAGGAGTTCCGCTCTTCTCTCTCTTCTATGAGTTTGAATGAATGAATGATTTTATTTATATATATATATATATATATATAAATAAACAAACAAATGTCTATATGAGTCTGTATGTGTAGCTACTGTAGCATTGCAGTGTTCAATTTCCCCAACTTCCTCATCACAGGGATATGCTAATGTGTCTGCTCCACTGGTGTTATACTGCCATTTCTTCTCCTCAGTACCTGTTCCTTATGGGTTGTGTTTTGCTAAGCCCATTCCAGTCCCATGTTTTATTTCTTTGTTATTTACTCTATAAGAATGCCACCTATCATAGTTTCTTGTCTCTTCAGGAGGTGATTGAATTAACACTTCAACTGCTGAACATTGGCCCAAATGCTGGTAATCCAGAAACTGAAGATGGTGAAAGTGGCATTGTCCCTGCTACAACTGAAGATGAGGCTACTGATAATTTTCAGACCACTTGGAGTCCAGGTGACTCCTGCTTGGCTATTTGGTCAGATGATGGACAGTTAGTATTGTTACACCTATCTCTAAATTATAGTTTTGTTATCTTTAATCACTGCTATACCTTCTTGCCTGCTTTTTTTTTTTTATTGTTGATCACCATTGAAGCGACTATTGAGACTCTAAACCTAAACTTATGTACTTTGTCTTTATTCATGCTTGCTTAATTTGTAAGAAATAAGAACCATGTTTTGTTTTAAGGAACATATCTGATTTATTCTATGAGACTGATTAACAATGGTGTATTTTTCTCATTTTAGAGATATAATTATATGAATATTTTAATTGAAGTATACAATGATGGTGGTAGGATTATATTTTTAAAAGATTTGGGGGATTTTGGAAAAATGTAAGTGGTAATCTAAATCTGTATTTGGATTATAATATTCATTAAGATGTTATAATAACTTAAAACTCTTGACTAGGAATTTAAAAAATATAGAATTGGAATTTGTTAGTGAGCTGCTTTGATTTATAGTAAATAAGCATAAGGTGAGATATTGGATTTAAATTTCCTTTCATGAAAATTGAAAATATTTAAAAAAAAAAAAAAAAATAGTGTATTTACAACAGTAATTTGTTTTTTTTTTTTTTTTGGCTTTTTAATAACTTTAAGCATAAGCAAATGCACAGAATGTCTAGAGTCTAAATGAAATTTGTCGACTATGCAAAAAGTGTCTTATAAATTATTGACAGCTGTAAATGACACTATTGTCCTAGTATTTTAGGTAAATTGACAAATGTCATTTGGGAAAAATATGCTTAAAGTAAAGTTTTGAAGTACTTTTACTGTTAAAGGCATGATTTTTAATGTATCCAATTCAGCATAAATATCTACATATTTAGCTAATTATTTTTAGTATACAAAAAGATCTTTGACTTGTCATTGCTTTGAAGTTAGTCTTTTTTCCTTTTTCTTTAAAATTGCAGTTTATTTAGTAATCAATAAATAGCAAAAAGTTTAATTAAATCCCTATTTAACTATTACTTTCTGTAGGCATTATCTTCATTTTTTTTTTAAAAAAAGAAAAAATGACTGATATTTCATTAATTCCTTCTTGCCTTTGAGGTATTATGAAGCAAAGATTGACGAAATCTTACCCGATGGAACTTGCACTGTTACATTTGATGGTTATGGAAACACAGATGTCACTCAGGTAAGTTTACCATATTGGCTTTGAAAATGCTGGATGAGTCTATTCACTTTGTCATTCATAATTTTTGGAAATGTTTTATTGGAATGATGTTTTCTCTATTAAAGTTTTAGTGAAACCATGAGATTTTTTTCTTTCCCAAGACACATTAGATCATTGTATAAATTAAACAAAAGTTTGAGAGACAATACAAGATTTATGGTGAGTAGTCCAATCACAAAATGTTTTTTTGTGTGATTGCCTATTTAATTGAATGATAAATTGATTTTTCCTTATGTGTGTGTGTGTGTGTTTAAACATTTTATTATTTTTTTAAAAGGATACTTGAGTAGAGGCTTAAATCCAACATTTTTAATTTTAAACGTTTTTGTCTTTTTTTTTAATGGGTACTCATAGTCTCTACTCAAGTACAAGTATCCTTTTTAAAAAAAATAAAATGCTTAAACATATATATATATATATATATATATATATATATATATATATAAAAAATAAAACTTCAAATGTTATGTATTTGAGTAGACACACCTGTTTTTATTTTTAAGCAGTGTTTCTATCAACCTGAACACTTGTGAAAACTTATTAAAGAAAATGTGCCATCCATTTGAGTGTGCAGTATTAGTGGACAAAATACTCTTTGAAATATGGAGTGTCTACTCAAATACAGATATCCACTAAAAATAACATTTGGAGTAATAAAAAATGTGGGATTAAAAAAAAAACAAAAAAAAACTCATAATTTGGAATTATTCTGCTTGTTTTCAATAGTTCTTATTTATTAAAGATGGAAATATATACTGTGTTGATATTTTGCAATGAAGCAGCTTAAATATGTCACTTAATTCATCTAATGTGTTTAATGTTGATCAGGTAAACTTATTAAGGGCAGTAGATCCTGATAATGATCATGGAGCAGATGGAATGGGACCAGAGGCAAAGAGGTTAAAATCAAAGTAAGTTACTTGAAATTTCTCTTGACTAAACTGCACTGACATGGAAATGCAAACTGAAATTCTTCCTTTTGAACTATTTTTTTTGTTTAGTAATTTCTTTATGATACATAATGATGCATTGCAAATAACTGCAGAATAATTTTGACATAAATTGAAAAGGATAAATAAATATGCTTTAAAACTTCAGGACAGGGTATTTGTTGATTAAATATTGACGTAAAAGTTGAAATATCTGAATTTTTTTTTTTAAATTGGATTTTGGCTAATATTAAAGCTCTTCATTTTTGTTAGTCCATTCCCTCTTACTTCAGCTGACTTTTTTTTTTAATTTGGCTGCAGTTGTGGGTCATTTGTTCTTTATATAGAACAGCCTACCTTGTTGAAAATCTAATCCAGCAATGACTTGTCAATACATAATGAATCTGTTCTGCAATAAAATGTTATTTAGTAGAATGCTAGATGTTATCAACTCAAGTTAGGCCTCCATCTGAAAATCTGGCGTATACAACATTTCATACATGTAAACAGAAAGTAATCTAAAATGAGCCTAATAAGAAAATAACTAAAGAAATTGATATATGGAATTCTCAGAAAATTACACAAGTAAAATTAATGTGTAGTAGTACACAAAATAATTTCTATCACTATTTCGCCAGTTAGAAAATGTTTGAGGGGGGCATAATTCAGAAAGAAATAACATTATTTTCTGTGACCCCCCCCCAAATCATGCAACCAACAAACAAAAAATCTCTTTATCTGGAGAATGTACTAACTGAATCCTTGTTTCAAAAAACTGGTGAATGTACGCAAACAAAAAGTATAAGTTTGGAAATGATTTTTCAATAAAATATTGAAATGGTTCTGAATTTTTTATTTTCATCATGTCCCCTGAAATTGTTCAGTTATCAATATAAACATATCCCTTAAAAATGCCATTTTGCATCTAATGCAAACGGCAAGTAAAATGGTATCAATCATATGATATGAATCTGGTATAAATTGTTTGCAGGAAAGATCTTATTGCCCAAGAACGGGAAAAGAAAAGGAAAAAGGCTCAAAAGAAAGCACAGCGTATGAAACAACTTGAAGAAGAAAGAGAAACTGAAAAGAACAAATGGCTTGATTTCAATGCCAAGGTAGGCACATAAGTTTGTTTGTTTTTTGGGGGGTTTTTTAAGTCTATTTTAGGGTATATGAGCTGGTTTGGCAATAATAATTTATGGATTGGCAATAAATTTCTACATCATGACATTTGAAGTTTGTATGCTGCACCAATAAAATATCTTCCTCATATCACAAGACATAGGTATAATCTGACTTCTAAATTTGACTTACAGTGAAAATAACTTTGGGCCAAATCATCTTCATAGAATTCTGTAATTTACCTTACAAAAAAGTGGTTTTCCTATTTTTCCATTTTTTATCTCATTTGTGTTTTCCTTTTGGGAAGAAAAATAACTTTGTTTGAATTCTGAAAGTTACTCTTAAAAAGTAGTGAACATTAAAATTATATTTGTCAAATTTTGAGGAATTTTTTTTACAGCAAAAATTCAATGGTTTGTATCTATTACAATAATTATACTAGTTAAAATATTTTTGAAAACAAAAAAACTTTTTCTTTTTTTTTTTTTTTTTTCTAGCATTTAAAAAGAAGTAAACATTAAAATTATAATTTATATAATCTTGCAATGCATTTCAACTTTAATTTTTTTATGATATAATAATATATTTTTTTTCTCAATTTTGCTGTGTGTATCTTAAATGTTTGAAGGTGATTTTTTTTTTTAGTAAGATAAAAATGTTCTTGAATCATGCTGAATATTTTTGTGGTTGAAATTAGTTACTATTTGAAAGAGTGATGTAGGAAACTTTGTTTTTTATGTTGATAGATGACAATAACTTAAACTTATTTTAAGTCTGAAGTCTTCAGCAATCTTGGGATGTAGTAACCCTCATTCCAGTGCATCTGTTTGAGTTTTAATGAAACATCAGTATTCAGTATGATGAAAGAGTTCATAATAAGTAGATGTCATGCCACGTAGTAGTACACACACACACACACACACTCCTTCTGTTTATTTAGTGCCATTCGGCCAAGGTTGAATTATAGGTGTTTGAAATGTTGGATAGTTATTTTTTAAAAAAATTGCACATCACTAGATGTTGGATGTGATGTGCTTGTGATGCATCATTGTTGGTAACAGTTCAAATCACCATTTCTGCAACTGTAGATCAGGCTCTGGTACTGGTGCAGATATTTGCCCATATCAAAGTATTCTATGGTAGGAATGGCAGACCTCACAATGTTTATGTTCAAATCATCAAATGTGGCTCCAGGATCATAGATAATCAGTTACTTGCAACAGGACTATGAGTGCCAGACTTCCATGTATACCTTAACACCTTTGTACACCTCTCTAATGGTGATGCAAAAAGATTTGGATGATCAAACCTGCACTCTTGTGGCGGACATGAGACAGAACCTGGGACGAGCACAACTGGTTGCGACTTGCCTTGTCCCCGCCAAAAAAGAGCCTGTATTTGCTTAGCATGTAAAGCTACTGCAGTTGAAATGAGGGAGAGAAAAAAGCACTTACCGCTCTGCCGTAATCCATCCTCGGCCAGATAACGTAAAAGAATGAGGGGGGACTGGCATCGCATTTTTATGCAATAACGATGCAATGCATTATGGGACATGGACGCAATGAATTATGGGATCACATGAAGACGCAAGGGATTATGGGTACATGAACAACTATAAAAACAACTATTTTTTTCCGAGTCGGGGGATTCTTTGAGGGACGTTCACGGTTGACAGCAAGAACGGGCAGTTAGTGTGATTTGGAGACAGAACTCAAGAAGAAACAACTCAAGGTTGAAATACCAGTTGGGAGAGCTTGAATTTACTCGCTGGTTACTGTTTTCTTCATTCGCCTCAACTCTTTAATGCTCAGTGACAAGAGGAGGTTTTGCCTCTATTTAAATGATGGTGGTTTTTGTTTGATGGAGATTAAAGAGCAAAATATCTCCCAGAGTGTATTTACACACCACACTCAGGTCCAACCTGCATCATCATAATCATCAACATGTAAAATGATATAAATTATAACTCTTGCTCACTTTTTGTATTTATAGAAGAAATGTTTGCCAGTGTCATGTATGCCCAGAGCATTGTTCAATTAATTCTGCTGCTGTTACTGTAACAAGAAGCCAATGTTATTCCGGCAGGGTGATACTTGTGCTACTCACCATGCTCTGCAAGATGTTTGATAACTTATAACTTCCTCAACTGGCATAATTGTCAGATTTACAATCACACACACTCTGTTGAACATATAAAACCCGATGGGACAATGGTCAACTCATTTACTTAACCTAACTATGACTTTTGTTGTATTTCACCAACGACTGTAAAAAGTGGGAAATCATGTATCATTGGGTGGTATTTGCCATCTGTATGATCATTGGGTGGTATTTGCCATCTGTATGATCATTGGGTGGTATTTGCCATCTGTATGATCATTGGGTGGTATTTGCCATCTGTATGATCATTGGGTGGTATTTGCCATCTGTATGATCATTGGGTGGTATTTGCCATCTGTATGATCATTGGGTGGTATTTGCCATCTGTATGATCATTGGGTGGTATTTGCCATCTGTATGATCATTGGTGGTATTGCCATCTGTATGATCATTGGGTGGTATTTGCCATCTGTATGATCATTGGGTGGTATTTATGATCATCTGTATTTCCTTCATTTGGGTGGTATTTGGGTGCCATCTGTATGATCATTGGGTGGTATTTGCCATCTGTATGATCATTGGGTGGTATTTGCCATCTGTATGATCATTGGGTGGTATTTGCCATCTGTATGATCATTGGGTTTGTTCTCATTTAGATTTTTTGGGGCTGAGATTTTCTTGCTTCAATGCTAAGTCTAATTTATCTTTCACACCAACTTTGGAATCACTAAACAAATGAATTATTTCTTATTTCAAAATCTTAATATTTATATTTTTATTCATAATTTGGCTTTTGCTATTAAACTATTTTCAGGCCTTCTCTAAGACAAACAAAGGAAAAGTGAAGAAATCAATATTTGCCTCTCCTGATAATATAAATGGAAGAGTGGGTATTGGCACATGTGGTACTGGAGGCAAGCCTATGACAGAGTATCACCCACAAGAAAAATGGAAGAAGTGAGAGGTGTTCGTTTTTTTTTGTTTTTTTTTTTTTTCTTCCCTCTATTCCATTGACCCACCCACCCTCTCTTCCCCTCTCCCAACACCATGTCAAAACGGGTGTTACTTGCACCCAGTGTACATAAGCATTCTGATAAAAGAACAAAAGTTTGATCTTTTATTTAGGATTTTCTGCTGTTCTTTATTTGTGCCCTGATCCTTAACACCAAATGATTCTTCCTCATGCAGTGAGCTAATCCAAGGTGTAAAAGTAAAATACTTTTTCTTTTATTTTTAAATTAATGTCCTTGAAAGATAGGCTTTTTGCAGAGAATTTTTGTTGTGGTGGTGGAGGAGAGATATTTGACCAAAATCTCTCTTAAAATGGGTTGCTCATCACTTCCCATTTACTCTACTCTTTCTCATAACTTAAAATGCCCTGAATTTGGTCTCACAGTCACTGCCAAATATACTACTGTTTATGTATTGTTCTTCTTTTTCTATTTACAATAGAAGCTGCTTCAAGATTTTAACTGTTAATTTAGGGCCAAATTTTTCTTCAGTTTGACAAAGCAATTAGATTCTACCATTTTACAATGTCATGTTAAGAATAACTGAATTCAAAACTAAATTTTTTATTTATCTACATTTATATATATCAAGTCTCTTGCATATTTGATGTGCCTCAAAACTAGAGATTTTACAAAAATGTTTTAATTCTTCAAAAGACTGACAGTATTTCTATTGTCCCTTCCCTACCAAATGTAATATTAAATCTTTTTCAAATTGTGAAAGGTTCACAGCCATCCTACAGATTACTCATATGTCTCTCACTGAGTCTTGTTTATCTTTTTATAGTGTTTTTTTTTTTTTTTAAGTGTTCAGAGAACTTATTTATTTTTGCCATTATTGTTTTTAGTTTTCTTGTTTGACATGTCTTGGAACTTCTTCATCAGTAGAACTTTAATAAACCTCTTCAAATTTAACTGATTACATGTTTAATGATTTTTTCACGTTTTAAGTCTTAATTTGATTTTTGTGTACAGTTAAAAATCATGCTTTATAAAGCTCTGTTATTTTTTTTTTTTTTTGCAAATATGGACATTTATGTGGTGTGATTTGTCTTTGTAATTTTGCATTGTAACAATTAATGATACAATATTTGCTAATTTCTCTCTCCTGGTGTTCATATCAATGATTTACAAAGGTACAAGGTTGCTAGCAAAATCATAACTTTTTCTTTTGCTGGCTTTAAAAAAGAATTATCACTGAATTAATATGACAAATAAAGAAAAACATTTTAGCTTTTTGTTTTGTAAGAAGCACAAATTTACATTTACACTCATTATTGTTTGATGCTAGTTTTCTTTACCTTTGCTCTCTTTTTTTTTTTTTTTTTTTTTCATATAATTTCCAATTGGCAATCCACATAGTGCAACAACAAAAGATTATCACAAACACTCAAGATGCCAAATGGTTTTAATTTCTAAATTTTTCATCTGTACACAAAAATACAACTGTTTTCTTATCAAGTCGGTTGCTTGAATATCAAGTACGCTTTATTTTTAGCACCTCCTAATTTGAAATTTCTCATTAAAAGAAAAGATTTGAGTAGTTTCCTTTTTAAATGATTTCTTTTATTAAGAAAATTGAAAAAGTTTAAAAATTCTTTCTAATATTTGAATCTCGTCTAGCACCTTCATATCCATTCACCAATCTCCTGTTTTTGTTTCTTTTATATTGTGGCTGTGAAATTGTTCATCTTCCAAATTTTGCATCTTGTTTATGGCATTGATACTTTGTGCATAGATTTGTCTGTGCACTAAGAAAAAGAAAAAAAAAAGCCAAATGGTGATGGTGCTATTTGTCATTATAGCAGTAATAATGTAATAGACATTCATTCATTACTTCCTTTTCCTAATTTCACCTTTCAGCTAAGTCCCCCACCCTGACTCATCCCGCTTAGTTTTATCAACACAACTGCTAATTTGATAAAAGGTCTACTTTTTAGCCTGCATGAGGAAAGAACGGTTTGTACATATAATGATCAATAGTCATAAAAAGAAGCGCGAATACAAACAATAATGCAAATAAAATAGTTTTCTTGAATATATTTGTTGGTTTTCTTTTTATTATCAGCAAACATAAAAAATGAGATTCAGTTTTGCTCTCAGTTTGTATAACATTTTACTTATTAAAAAATATACCAAAAATTATCTATTATCTTATTAAGTTACCTTTTGTATGCATCTAACACTGACATGGAACTTGAAAACTTTACTAAATAGTAAATAAATGATTTTAAAATGTGAATAAAATATAAAGAACCATATGGATCTTAGGATAAATTTGTCTCCTGCATATTGCACAGCTTTTGACTTTGGTAGATTTTTTTTTTTTTTTTTTTTTTTTTCCAAAACAATTTCAAAAGAAAATAGATTTTCCTTGGATTGATATCATCAGTTTTACTTTGGAGATGAAGTTGAGATTCTGTAATATACAGGCTGTAGCTTTGATTTGGGGTGGGCGACCTTTCCAAATCAAGGGCATTAATGATTTTATTTATTTACTTCAAAAACACACACACACACACACAGGATAGTGATTATATAAATTTTTATATATCAAGAACAGTTTTGGAGAAAAGATGTATGACAAAATGGAAAGTTTTTATGCGATGTTTCATTCCTATAAAATATTAAGGACATCCCATCACTTATTTCTGACCTATATATGTGATTTCTTAAAATCATCCACTGAGGAAATGGAAAAACTAACCCTTAAAAAAGCTAGAAATGCTGAATTCCAACTCCACAAAAAAACATTTTAACAAAGTTGCAAATGGCTTATTTATAACAAAAGATAGAAGAAATAAGCAACAAACCAAATAAATAAACTAAGAAAAAAAACTCCACACACTGTACTAATAGCAGATGGAAATATCTTGGAAGACCAGATCTAATAGAGAATATTTTGGATATAAAGCTATCTAATACTGAACTGGAAGTCCTCAGCTTTGGCTTGAAATTTGCTACCAGGATTTGTAGAGATCTAGTCTAAACAATGATAAAAAATCTTACACAAAATGATACAGATTTTACCAAAGGCTTCCTTCAAGGAATAATCACTGCCACTATAGAAACCAACAATGAAAAGAACATTACCACAGATGCATGCACTAAGGAACCTAGCAAAAAATAAGGAAATCTGCTTTTCACTAGAGGACAAAGGGATGGTTGGGATTATCATAATGAATAAAAACTCATGATAAAAAAAATCAATTTATTACAAAATGATACCAACACATGAAGAAATAAACTAACAAAAATAATTACTGAAACAAAAATCTAACAAAGCAATTAGGAAACCTAATTAAAAATGAAGACAAATCATAGTATAGACTAATAGAATATCACCCTGGAATACTCAAACTCTATGGTCTCCCTAAACCCCCACAAAACAGGTATCCCAATGTGCCCCCTTATTTTAGGAATAGGTAGGCAGCACCCCCTCCCCTAACTGGCTAAAGCCATAACAAAAATTTTAACCCCTCTCTTTGGAACAAACAAACCATCATATAAAAAATTGGGGCAACCTAGTTGAAAAACTAAGGAAAACAAATATGACTGACAAATTAATGTATAAAATCACTTTACACTAGGTATACGCACGAGATCGCTAAAAAAAGCGTATAGTCTGATGAAAAAGACGTCAAACTTGACGAAAACAAAATTTTATCGCCAAAATGTCTATGTTACGAGTAAGAGTAAAGAACAAAGTAATTTTAATTATTTTTCAAAATTTTCTGTCTTTATTACAACATTCTAACTTTCGATTGAAAAACCTTGTTTCTCGTCATCACCGGAACTCTAGTAAATAACATGGCGAATTTTTGTGCATTTTTTTCTTATGACACATTAATTTTGAAAATCTTGAAAAAATAGAAATAATTGTCAGATTTTAATGAAACTTTCAGAAACTATTCAGAAATGATGGAAATTATTATAAATATGTTATTTTTTTAAAAAGTCATTATAAAATATATTTTTTATACATATATTACCCCATAAATGAATTAAAGAAAACTGTAAAAAGTTTATGGACGAAGCAGGGAAGTCATTATATTAATAAAAACACAAGGCTTTGAGGAAAGTAAATCAGGTTTCTTTTTTAAAAATCCGAACACGTAAAACGCTGAAAATCAGCTCTGAATTGTAACATACAAAACCCAATAAAAAACAAAATACCATTTAATTTTAAAATGCTTTTAGTTGCTTTTATTTGTTTTTATCAATATGCATAATATTGTCTGAAGGCAAAAACTTTTGATGAAAAATGAATTTTAAATGAATTAATTGTTATTTAATAAATTATTTTTATTATTTTTACATAAAGTTACTAAAAGTTACTAAAAGTTGTTAAATATTCTAAAATTAAGTACTGACGAATCCTGTATATAATGCTATTTTTTAGGTACCTATATCTGTACAGATTATAAATAGTACAAGGTTTTTACAATCAACTAAAAGCAATGAGAATAATCTTACTGTCCTTTAACCTATGTGTAGAAAAAAAAATCTTAAATCAAATGTATGAGGTCCGGAAGAAACATGATCCAATAAAACATCACGTGATTTGATTTGTAATGGCACTGTTAACGGCCTTTATGTTTATATAAAATTACTTTAAAAAATTTATAATAATTTCCATCATTCCTGAAAGTTTTTTTTTAAAATCTGACAATTATTTCTACTTTTTGCAAGATTTTCAAAATTAATGTGTCATAAGAAAAAATGAACAAAAAATTTGCCATGTTATTTAATAAAGTTCCGGTGATGACGAGAAACGATTTTCAATCAAAAAGTTAAACGTTCTAATAAAGACAGAAAATTATTTAAAATAATGAAAAATTACTTTGTTCTCCCCTTAATAGTAACATAAACATTT